TATGCTTTGATTCACATTATAATAATTTATTGCGACGCTTTTGGTCGTATTCTGTCCCATTTCGTCAAAAAAAATTATTTCCATTGGAAAACGTTGAAGAAATAGCTAAAATCAGCGCATCTTTGTAAACTCGTACCCAGGCTCTTTGCTCGGTTTTTTTTTTGCTCTTCGCTACAAATAACATCGTTTTGCATACAAGTTTATCTCAAAGTTAAAATATTAATGTTATTTAACATGTTTAAATATTGTTTTTTAAAAGAAGGATACTTAGAGTGCTGCTTCTTTTTGTTTTCGATGTAATTTTGCTGGTGAGGATCTCCACGGAAAGTGAAAATGTAAGTTTTTAACACTGAAGTTTGGAAAATATAATATGCATATTAATATTTCATATATTTGTACATAAAAAATTGAAAACTAAGATAGGAACTATTTCACTGGGATATAAAAGTTGCCAGAATAATAAAAGGAAACTACATGGCTTCGTGGGATGTTTTCCTCATTGTATTTAAAACAATATTCAGCCTATAGTGCCATAGTGGGTTATTGCCAAGTGGAGTTTTAAAAATATTGCACAAAACGCACAATAGTTGCAGTATCTTTGTTTGGACTTGTTATATGTTATCCATTTATTTCGCTAAAAAATCATTTGTACAGTACACAACATTTGTTATGAAAAGTTTGTTTGTCTTGCTCAGATAAAACAGACGTAAATCTCGCGAATGTTTGTCTTAAAATAGACCGAGATATTTTCCCGCCAAAACTACCTGTTGTTGCTTAACCTTGATATATAGTTTTATTGCGGCCAAAAAAAAGGAATGAAAAACATATAATTGTTGGATAACCAATTTATTCATTCGTCTTAGAAAGTACGTCCTTTTTCATGTATGCAATGTCTTGCACGGGAAACCATAAAACCCAAACTCTTTGATCTTTTCTTAATCGAGGCATATTCGAAAGGCGAACGAAGACCGAATAATACGAACTCCCAAAGGACATCAAATATGATTTCGAACGTTTTTAAATGTTTCATGCTTATTTTGCTTCCTAAGAAACGTGAAAGGCTAACTTATACTAGAACATTACCCGAAATTAAAGTTGAGTTGAAATGCTAAAATTGAAATTGTTAATGTTTGTGGAAAATAGCAATTGTTTTCATATAAATTTGATCAGCCATGTTTCTCGATTTGTTTACTCATTTTTAAAGCGTGCGCCCAATTCAAACATTTGCATCTCACGTAATATTAAATGAAATTTTTAGGGCTGTATATGAAAATCTAAGTTAGCCTTTCCTGAATACAATACAATTTATTTGAGTGTAATAGTTTTTATAGTTTTTACCTTACACGAAATCAAATAGCGCAAGGTTTTTTTGGGACACCCGGTAGTATTATTGTAAACAAAACTTTTTGATAAAAAAAATATTATTTTGTTTCTGTAGTCGGTCAAAAGCGATAAAATAAGATCAAAACTTTTATTTCACATAACATAATCTGTACACAGGTAATAATATGCAGCAAAAATGATTTCAAAAGGATGGATGACGATGGCTGGCAGCTCCTTCCAAAACCAGCTAAAAGATTGAAGAAACTGACCTGTTTCGACAAGTGTATTTTTTGCCAGACGGGTAATGCTAATCTGCGTGTTGCAAAGCCTTCTTCACTAGAGAAAGTTGTTTCTGCACTTAAGCAACGACAAGATGAGGTATCGTATGATAGCATGTGTTTTGTTTATTGCTCCATATTGTACATATTACACAGCCAGCCAGTCTCCTAATCAAATCGCCCACGTAAACGCCTTCTGGTCGGCGTTTTTCTACGTTTGAAATATTCTTAAACATTTTCAGGTGTCGCAACGCCTCACACCTAATGATCTTTGTCATGTGGAGGGAAAACACGTTTTGTGGCACTCGTCCTGTTACGAAGCATTCACCAGTAAGCAAAACCTACAATTTTCAGAATCCAAAACGTCAAATAATCCTGTTGATGTCAAAGTTGGCAAACGAGGCGGCACATTATTTGATTGGTCGAAGTGTATGTTCTGCAGGAACGCAACACGTAAGAAGGACAGAAATCTTATAAATATTGTCACCTTTGAAGCATGTAGCACCATAAAAGAATCTGTAGAAGCACGAGTGGATCACCAACTGCTTGACGTACTTCAATCAGTTAATTATGATCTTATAGCAGCAGGAGGGAAATACCACAAAGCATGTCATGCTTCTTATGTCAGCAAAGTAAATATTAAACGCATGCAGCGCGATACTTCCACAATTGATGAAAACCCTTTTTGATGAAGCCTTTAACCAACTGGTAAAGACCATAACGACTGAAATAAATAACGGCAAGGCCTACGACATGAACATTCTTTTAGCTATGTTTAAAAAGGAGTTAGAAAAACTATGCAATGCTGGAGAAAGCTACACGAAGCAAAAGCTGAAAGCGCGATTAGTGGCCCATTATAAGGAAGACCTTGTGTTCCACCAGCCACCTCAACAATCCAAACCGGAGATAGTGTATAGCAGTTCCATATCTTTGGTTGATATCATAAATGCGGCAATCAACTCTCCGCCACCAGACACGACAAGCTGTATATCCAAGGAAAAAATGAACGCATCCACGTCCGAATTCTTCGACATCTATGCTGTAGCAACTCAAGTGAGACAAGAGGTAATGAAATGTAAGGGCATTGACATCAATCCACTGGATATCAGTGATTTAAACCTCGATACTGCAAAAGAACTTCTTTCCCAAAATCTCTACTGGCTTTTAAGATGGATCATAACTGGAGAGCAGTAATGCAGTATCGCGACCGCAGTTCATCTTCAAGTGCAAGAATTCCTGCAGATGAGCGCAAGATTATAATGGTCGCACAAGATATCGTTCACTGCGCATCACATGCAAGAGCAAAGCTTCCTAAGCACGTAGCGCTTGCCATGTCAGTCAAGCACATAACTGGTTCAAAACAGTTGGTAACTCTATTGAACAGAATGGGTCACTGTTCTTCGTACGTGGAAATTGAACAAGTGGATACGAGCCTGGCCAATGAAAGTTTAGCGAGATCAAAGACTAGTGGTGTTATAATCCCAACTAACATAAATCCTGGTGTGTTTATACAAATGGCGGCTGACAACAACGATATTAATGAAGAGACGCTCGACGGGAAGAAGACAACACATGCAACGACAATGGCTATATACCAGCGCAAGCAGTACGGACCCAAGCCAGCACGCGTTGTGCACGCCGATCATTCCAAAAAGAAGAGGTCGCTGGATTCAACTCGTAATCTGGTTGTCATAGAAGAAGTGAATGTAGGTGGCAGGCGACCCACTCTTGCTGTCTATGTAGGGAACGATTTTATCACTTACCTTCAATCTGACCGTCAGCTACCGTCCTGCTGCACGGCTGACCTCTGCTGGATGCTACTTCGTCTTTCTGATCCTTTTATGGTGTGCAACCAACAAACGCCGGAAGAGCAGAATATACCAGGATGGAGTGGATTCAATGCTATTACACATCCTAGCTTACCAGTGGAGACTGTCATAGGTTATCATCCAATGATCAATGCAGAATCAAGCAATTTCAGCACCCTATACACCTTGATGAAACTGGCACAGAAGATATGTAACACCTTAGGACAGTGCGAATCAGTGGTCACTTTCGATCTAGCTCTTTATGCAAAAGCTAAACAATTACAAATGAAATACCCAGAGGAATTTCAGAGCACCGTTATCAGAATGGGCGGCTTCCACATCGCGCTAAACTATCTCTCTCTCCTGGGAAAGAAATATGCACAATCGGGCTTAGAAGACATGCTGATTGAATCTGGAGTTTATGCAGCTGGCACCACTTCAGTAATTATGCTTGGCAAGTCTTACAATCGAGGGATTCGGGCGCACAAGCTTACCATGGAAGCGCTTTTCAGACTTTTGTGGCAAGCCTTCGTGGAATGGCTGGAAAGGGAAGAAGTTGGACTAGAGAACGGGGCAAAGCAACTTATTCTCTGCAGAAGTAAAGAATGCCGGAACACAGTTAAACATTAAGATTTCTTCGCGGATAATTGGTCGGCATTTCAAGGTTGTATCGAGCCTTTGATGCTACTACTTGACACTTTCAAGTTAGAGAGCAGAAAGAAGTCCAAGGTATTCAACTTCTGGGAAGATTATATCAACATGGTGCTGTTGCTCTTGCAGTTTGTTAAAGCTGAACGAACTGGGAACTGGAAGCTTCATCTCTCCGCTACTGCCGCGATGGTTCCCCATTTCTTTTCCATGGACAGGGTCAACTACTCTCGATGGCTGCCCGTTTACCTTTCCGATATGAACATGTTGGAATCGCACCATCCTGAAGTCTATCAAGAGTTCATGGCAGGAAGTCATAGTGTGAGCCGTTCGAAGCAACCGTTTGCACAAGTTTGGCCCGACATGGCCCTGGAGCAATCAATCAATCTGGATTCGAAGTTGGAAGGCGGCATAATAGGCATGAGTACCAACGAAAATGCGGTAGAGAAATGGTTTTTAACCAGTCATGAGAGAGCGGTAATAACACAAGAACTCAAGAACATGTGTGGGATACAGAATTGCGACAGGATCGGAACGCACAAAGAAGCAAGTGCGACAAGAGTAACAAGAGATGAAAACGATGTGCAGAAGCTACTTGCTACGTTCAACGGTAAACTCCTCAGTGACCCTTTTCACATTCCTGATGACATTATCGACAACGAAGAACCGTTACCTTTGAGTAATCTTGCCACAGGTGTTGTTCTACCAGATGCTGAGGCTAAAAGACTTCTTGACGCAGCAGAGTTAGGAAAACAAAGCATGGAGGGCTTTGTTTCATCTAGAGTTCAGAGTAAAGAAATTAATTTCTGGGATCCAATTCATAAGCTCAAAATCAAATCGTTCAGTTCAGTGGCAAAGAATGTTACAATAAAGAGCCAAAAAGAAAAGATCGTATCCGTTAATGCTGATCGCAAGCTTTTCGGTCGCCTTCTCGTAGCCGCAAAAAACAGGGATATCAATCTGAAAGAAGTGCTTTCTTATGAACTGTGCAGTGTGCCGATTGCACTTGCACACCCTGACGGTAGTTTTCGGAAAACGACTAAAAGCACCTTAATGCCGCTCTTAGAAAAGGATGTCAACTGCAGTTCAAGCCTGCCTGCTTCACAGTTTCCTTCAGCCTGTCTAATTGATGCAATGTCTCTTATACAGATGATCAAGTCTGCAGGGTGTTCAACGTATAAGGAGCTGTCTAAGAAGTACGAAGAGATTGTCTTGACCGCATTACACCGACCCGGCTGCACAAGAGTGGACTTAATTTTCGACCAATATCCCTCTGTTTCAGTGAAGGCGGACGAACGCAGAAAGAGAGGGGAATCAAGCTCCCTAGAAGTAATCATCCACAGTGGATCAACGCGAGTTCCGAAGCAATGGGCGAAATACATTTCAAACCCGAAGAACAAAGAAAACCTGGCCGATTTTCTTTGTGAAACTTTAAGTGAACAGCTACCACAACGTTTAAGCTCCTCGGAAAAGGTCGTCTTGGCTGGCGGATTTAGGGACGGATCAAAGACAGTGTCGTTAACTCACAGCTCAGTGGCTGTTGAGCATAATCTACGCTCAGATCACGAAGAAGCGGACACCAGGCTTCTGCTTCATGCCAAACATGCTGCCAACACCCACCCAAGGATTGTGATACAATCACCAGACACCGATGTCGCTGTGCTTTCAATAGCACACTTTGAAGATTTGTCGTGCCAAGAGTTATGGTTTAAAACTGGTGTAAAGGACAGACAGAGATACATACCCATCCATGACATTCACCTTTCCTTTGGCCGACTTGTTTCCAAGTGTCTGCTATCGTTTCACGCGCTAACAGGATGTGACTCCACCAGTGCCTTGTCTGGAATAGGAAAGAAGAAAGCCTGGAATGTGCTGCTCAAGAATGAGCAGATACAGCAGGACCTCAGCAATTTTGGTAAAAATCCGGTCATTGAAGAGTTTGAACAGAAAGTCGCTGAATCTTTCATCTGCTCCATTTACACGTCCGCACAAGAATTTTTGAACTCCAATGATGCCCGATACTTTCTGTTTTGTCAACGAAGTTTGAAGAGTGAAGAACTCCCTCCCACATCAGAAAGCCTTTCTCATCACATCAAGAGAGCAAATTTCCAAGCATGTGTTTGGAACAGAGCCTTACATCCATTTCAAAGCATGCCCTCGCCAGCAGGAAATGGTTGGAAATTGGAAGATGGAAAGTTAGTTCCTGTGTTGATGACACGAAATCCCGCCCCAGAAGGCATAGTGGAGTTGACAACATGCCGCTGCACAACTTCCGAGTGCAAACGGAATTGTTCCTGCAAGAGAAATGACCTTGCATGCACCGAAGCTTGTTTATGCATGGCCGACGAAGGATGCAGCAACCTTTTCAACGAAGAATCCTATGTCTACGGTGACTCCAGTGACTCCGAGACTGAAGGACAAAATTAAATAACACTAGACAATGTTGTGTGGAAAAAGTGATATTACGGTAAAATATGTTAATTCAGTAAAATTTCGAGACACACTACAGTCTATTGTTTAGTGATGTATTATAATGTTTTAAAAGCCTTCTTTATTTTCGCAAATTTGGCACGTTATTGGGTTTCAGGTAGGGAACGGCCGAGCAAAGAGCCTGGGTACAAGTTTATAGAGATGTGCTTATTTCGACTATTTTTTTAACGTTTTTCAATGGAAATGAATTTTTTGACGAAATGGGACAGAATACGACCAAAAGTGTTGCTATAAATTATTATTATGTGAATCAAACCATAAATAACGTCTCAACCGGAATTTAAACGTACAGAAATTGACAGAAAAGCGGATTTTTGACGAAAAGCAGTCACGTGACAAATCATGTGACGTGATTTGTTGCTATGTAGTCTAACAAACGTTAAGCACAGACCAACCGTTGATCGTTTGATAGTTTTTAGGGTATTTAGATCACAGAATATAGATTTGAACGGTAAATAGTGCTGTAACCTCGTTTTGATGTTGAGTTTGATGCGAGTACGATAGCGGGTAAAGAACCTCAGATATACGATTATTGGTACCACAATTCGAGACTACATAGTACCTAGTCTTAAAGAGCACTTATTGTTCTGTAGGAAACTGGTGTCAGACCTTTTCTGTTGGGTCGGTTGAACCAACTCCTTAAATAAGGTGTTTTCACAAAACAGATCCTTGACTATTATGTGAAAGCATGCATTTAGTTAGGGTTTTGCGAATTAATCCAGATTAATATGATTTTCTTGCACAATATTATTTATCGACTAAATAGCATGTTCATGCGTACGTTTTTTAATATTATCAAAAGAATAATAAAAACACACTAACATGATAATCTTCAAGAAAATAAAGTAATTAAGATCCTTATATTATAACAACGAAAGTTATCTCATGATAATTCACAAGTTTTTACACCGTCCATAATTGGACCTAAGAAAGGGAAGCAAGTATTTAAAGCTGCACGTGACCTTCTATACCGGCAATTGATTGCAGTTTCAAAGTATGATCGTACACAATACTAATATAACGATATTGGTGTTATTTATCTATAGCGTATCTATTTAGTGACTGTATGATTTAATTAATCTAAATGACTGTCATGATTTCGTAAATTTTTCCGTGATTTTACACAATAACCAATTAAATTAACAACAAAATATAAATTTAGTGAATGCTAAATTATAAATAACTCTCGACAGAGGGAGGATGGGCTAGTATGGGCTGCAACATGTACTGAGAATTTTGGTCAATTTTTGTTTTAACATTTTGTCTTTAATTATTTTCTAGCTAAATACGTTGGTCGCTGTCGATATTAGAGTAACTATATCTGCGAAGATGAACATTTTCTGCTTCAGTACATCTGGTGATGTATGTGGCCTTATAGTCACTAGGTAAGTTACTAATTCAAACAATATACTCATTTATTGTTTCAAAGCCATTCACTAGAATCCCAGTATAGTTTTGTTCTTATAACATTTACAATTGTGAATGAAGAGGAAAATTGCTTTCTATGTGACGCAAAGTGGAATGCTACAGTTTGTATTTTTTTGTGCAAAGTTCCTGTGACTCTTTGCACGAATGTTATGGACTGCATACAAGTCATTACGTGTTTCGACAATAGGTTAATAGAGATTGGATATTTAGGGGGATTTTTTCAGAAATTTTTCCAAATGTACAAACAAGCCTGTTATGAAGTGTGCTTTGAATTTTAGGTTAACCTATTGGGTATAAGCTAATCGGCTTTGGAACAACCGACCTTTGTGGATCTGGGACGTTCGCCCAACATAAATTGTCGATATTTTATGTGCAAATTAAGGTCCTGTGACCCTTAGAGATTGGATATTCAGGGGTTTTTTTTTCAGAAATATTTCCAAATGTACAAACAAGCATGTCAGGAAGAGTGCTTTGAATTTTAGGTTAACCATGGGTTAAAGCTAATCGCCTTTGGAGCAACCGGTCCCTGTGGATCTGCGACGTTCGCCCAACATAAATTGTGTAAATTATCAACAAGACCAGGCGTTCCGACTTACTTTATCCAACATTTGAGACACTGTAACAAAATTTAGACTTTTCTCGTCCCTATGGTCTCGGCTTACGCATTCCAGTCGAGATTTCAAAGACAATCGGCCGGCTAGCGCGCTTGTTCATATGAACGCGAACGTTTTGTCGTAAAATTACTACGAGAGGAGATCACAAGTAGGCGAACTGGTCCTTTATCATTCTCCTCCCATCTATTGATGTTTAAACACATTTCATCAGGTTTGCTTTCAGCAGATCCTTCTTTTCTCCACCCATCGTCTCTTGTCATCTTTTTATCTTTGAGAGCAAACCTGCTTTACCATTCTGCTGTCATCATTCTGACCAAATGATCAATATTATGCTTTACCGTAGCTGCTTGTGTTCCTTAGCTTTCTGACTTGTCTTATTCTTATTTTAGCTGAAGGAAGAAAAGAGCTGTTCGGTATGTGGATATTAAATTATAATGATCAAAATTTTAAATAAATTAGTTATGTGGCTGTTTTACGACGCAGTAATATGCCAATATATATGTTTCATATGCCAATATATTTATGGCTGCACTAGAGGAAAAAATCCTCCAGAATGCACTAGAAGGTCTAACTCCTCTCGAGTGGATTAGATTTCTGGACGACATTTTTGCTATATGGTGCCACGGTGAAGCATCCTTATCATCCACGTTGAAGCATCCGTGATCTACAGCCAGGTGCTACGCTACAGACGAATCATCACAGATGACACAATACTACGAAACCAACTAGAAAAACTTAAAATTATGCTGATGACTAGAGGATACAAAACTGACACAATTGACAATGCCTTTGGGAAAGCAACACAACACACACAAAAACAATTACTTTACAACGACAAACCAAACAAAACAGAAACTCGACCAATTCCGTTCAATACTAACACAACACATATAGGCCAAATCCTACAAAAACACTGGCACCTAATAGAAAGCGACCCAACGTTAAAAATACTATGGTCAAATATACCTATGGTCGCATACAAACGTAATAAAAACATTAAAGAAATGCTAGTAGGCAGCAAACTAAAAAAGACTGGAAACAAATCCAGCGATTAATTATGTACAGTGACACTATACGGAAACATAACGCAACCAACTGACAAATCACTGCGGTCATGCTTGCCTGAAAACATACACCAAAGACCAAGATAGAGAATGATGATGTCTGAAAACAATACCAAAACAAAAAAGGCATGATGATGGGGAGACAAAAGAAAAACAAGAGACATAAGGAAGGCTCTTGCAATCTAGTTGGAATTTTTTCCTTGCAATCAAAACAAAAACTTATCCTGCCATCAGATAACTAAAATTCGACGATATCGATTAACTTTTTCATAAATTTCAGCCTACTGCTACTCTCTTTTTTAAGCCTTTCTCACTCTTAATTTAGAGATACATATTATTTACAAATGAAATAGCTACAAACTATAGGGACAATTGCATCCCATCTACACACATCACCGAGGTTTAAACAAAGGAATATGAAATCCTAATTAATTAAATTGATATACACAGTCGGTGTATATACCACAATATGTATATGGATCCCACCATGCACGCGCGACAATTTGTATATAATAATATAAATACGCATCATGATGTACATAATACTATTAATATTTTTACGAGTGTTTATGTGTTTTTTTTATGTTTTATATGCAATTTTTCTAAATGCATATGCCCGGTCCCAATACAATTCCCTCTTTCACCAACTAGCTCTGGGGGCGGACAAGCAATTCTCACACTTATGTCTAAACAAAATTGTTTTTTGCACATTCCCTGGTTATCAGTTTAGCCCACGGCACATCACACTCTAATTATACATACAAACTAATACCTAATTAACACCTGACAAACATGCACGCTACCAAACCACATGACGTCAACTATTCAAGAACAACTCACTAAAACTGGACTTCAAGGGCACAACACCCATTCTTGAATACGCACATTTGGCGAACAACCAAAAAATAAAAGGAGAACTCCAGGGAATTGAAAATAGTCAACCCCAACTGTTTAGGAGAGAACGCTTGATCGTTTAGACTTTAATGTTTATTAATTGGGACTATTATAATTAGTAATTTAAGTGCTTTCGTCTGCGTGGGACGTTAGTTTAATTAGGTAATGTTTATGCGAATATATGATTAGGCGATGCTTTTAAAAACAGAAAAATACGATAAAAATTAGTTAGTTAGTAAGTTCGTTCGTGATTTAATCATGTAAAAATATAAATGTCTAAAGAGTTTGAATATCGTCGAGTTCTTCAGAACATATGGTAGCAGGAAATGGTCGATAATACAGTCACGGGCGAAGTCGGCGAAGAAATGGAAGCGTCTTTGTTGTTGTCAACAGACATTGAACGCTTGAAGAAGCAAAAGCGAGTGATAAAAACTCAAACTTCGAAGCTTTATACGAAACTTTTAAGATTAATGTCCAACGAGAAATGTGAGAGTGATGAATTATTGCAAGGGCTAGACGCGTACGAAGAGAAGCAGCAGGAGACGTTGACAATTATCGAGGAACTAATCCTAGCGTACAAAAAAGCCGGCTTTGGGCAGCTTTTTCAGCAATCGTGGACGAGACAAGTGCACTTTCGAAACACAAAATGTTAAGATTAAAAGCATGTCTGGAGGGGAAGGCAGCAGAGGCAATCTCGAAATTGGGATATTCAGAAGAAGCCTATGAAGAGGCAAAAAAGACTTTGATACGAAAGTTTGGAGGTAATCGTTGACAGATGCAAGCGCAGTTAGAGGATCTTCGTAACACTACACCGTTTCAAGACAACGATGTACAAGAAATTGAAAAGTTTGCGGACAATTTGGTACATACGATCGTGATGTTAAAAGAGTAAAGACTATGGAACGAGTTAAAACCGAACAGTATGTTGTATCTGTTATTAATTGAAAAGATTCCTCAGTCAATGTTGGCCAGTTATTTTAGATGGTTAACGGAGAAATGTAAAGAAGAGACCTTGGAAGCATTGAGTGATTGGATGGTAGAAGAGGCAGAGTTCCTGATTCGTGCATTAGAGACGAGGAAAGGTATGGCGACTAAGAAAACACCTACGGACAGAAGGACACATCGTAGTTTTGCAGCCGTGAACAATGGACGAGAGCGAAGTTGTGTATGTTGCAACAAGTTTGGTCATGGTGAGTGGAATTGTACAAAGTTTAACGACGGTACTGTGAGACAAAGATGGACTTTGGCAAAAGAAAGGAAACTGTGCTATCGATGCTTGTCGGAACGTCATCTGGGAAAAGATTGCCCTAGGACACAAGTATGTGGACGGGAAGGTTGCAAGAGTAATCACCATCAGTTGTTACACGAGTCCGGGACTCAAGATCAGAAGAAGAAAGTTAATCAGGATGGCGAGGGCAAGATTTCACAGTCACCACCTAGTCGGTCACTTCAATCAGTTCCAGATTTAAAGGCTGAGAATTCGTCAGCGTTAGAACAACCGACTGGGGCAGAAAAGAAAACATACATAGCAACGTTGGCTTCGTCGAAATCATCTAAAGAAGTTGTGTCATTTCGTACAGTACCTGTCTGGCTGAAGGCGAACGGTCAGAAGATAAGAGTTAATGCTGTCCTAGACGATCCTAGCAGCGCGTCCTATATTAGTGAAGAGGTAGCTGGGGGACTTGGACTGTCTGCACCATACGAACCCGTTACAGTTCAAGTTTTAAACGAAAATATCGAGACTTTTGATACCATGCCAGTGGACTTGATTCTCGAAAATAGTGATGGTAATGTTCGAGTTCCATTTCAAGTATTTACGTGCCCACGTCAGATCACAGGAAGCTACAAAGTTGTAGATTGGAGGCGTTATCAAAAGCGTTGGTCGCATTTGGGAGTGTGTGATTTTCCGGAGGCTACAGTAGATCCGCTGGTAGATGTGCTGATTGGTCAAGATCAAGTCGATTTGCATTACGCACGATGTGATGTAAGAGGGAAGCCAGGCGAACCATCGCGCGATTGGGTGCGTTAGGATGGTCTTGTATCGGAGATCCAGAAGAGAAATCGTCAGCGCGTTGTCCGCTTCGTACCAATCTGATTTACACGTTCTTTGCTAAGTCTGAGTCGCTCGAAGAACTTAATCATTCGCTGAAAAGATTTTGGGAATTGTAATCAGTTACAACCGACAAAGAGCATCACGTAATGTCACAGAAAGAAAAGTCGGCGTTGTCTCAGTTGCATGAATCGCTGGTCAACGACGGAGAGCGTTATCAAGTTGCAGTGCCGTGGCAAGAAATTCGTCCAACTCTAATGAACAATTACGAGACTGCATTCAATCGCCTCAAGAATACAGAGAAACGATTATCGAAGAACGAATCCCTTGGAGCAGATTACGGTGAAACAATTCGAAATTATGAGCAAAAGAAATATATCCGTAAAGTGACTCCTGATGAAGCAATGGTTCCCGAAGGTCGATCAAGTGTGGTTTTTACCCCATTTCCCGGTGTGTCGCCCAGACCGAGCAACGACAAAGACTCGTATTGTGTTCGACGCCAGCGCTAAGCATCATGGGGTGTCCTTGAATGAGATGATCCTATCAGGACCAAAGCTGTTGAGCAATTTGTTTGATGTATGCTATGGCGTGCGATATCCGACAGATGTATCTACAGATCCGAATTCCAGCTGAAGATCGTTCGTACTTCCGATTCTTGTGGAGAGATCTAGAAATTGATCGACGACCTGATGTCTATGAATTTGAAAGAGTGGTCTTTGGTGACACGTCAGCTCCTTTCCGTGCGCAATTCGTGGCTCAAGAAAACGCCGGACGACACAAAGAAACTTACCCCCTCGCGGCGGAGACTGTCGAAAAGTCAACCTATATGGATGATTCTTTGGACTCAACTCAAACAGAGGAGGAAGCAATCGAACTCTACGAGCAATTGAACGGGTTGTGGAAGTTAGCCGGTATGGAACCACGGAAATGGGTGTCGAATTCCTACAGCGTTCTTGAAAAAATTCCAAGTGAGAAACGGCCAGCAAAAGTCGATTTAGCTAAAGAGAATATTCCTACGATTAAAACTCTGGGCGTGTTATGGTTGGCTGAGGACGATGTGTTTTCTTTCCAAGTCGAAGAAGTCCTTCAACCACAGTTGACGAAGAGATTCCTATTAAGCAGAATATCGAAAGTATTTGATCCGCTGGGATTTGTGTCACCATTCGTCGTGCGTGCAAAGACCCTATTGCAAGAGTTATGGTCGCAAGGGTTAGGATGGGACGATCCAATTGAGCACGACGTGTATCGTCAGGCCAAGAGTTGGTTGGACGAGCTAAAGGATCTTGAATCCATGAGAATCCCCCGATGTTTGCACATGAACAATGATCAGTCCACGACAATACACACCTTCGTAGATGCGTCGAAATCCCCGTATGGCGCTGTCAGCTATTTGAGAACCGAACATCCGAACTGAAGAGTCGAAGTCAATATAGTTGCATCGAAAACTCGAGTGACACCATTAATGCCAGTGAGTATTCCTCGGCTCGAGTTGTTGGCAGCGGTCTTGGGGTTAAGGTTAGCATTGGTCATTGCAAGAGCATTGAATCTCCCTACCTCCACGGCGCGGTTTTGGTGTGGCAGTATGAACGTGCTTCTCTGGATTCGTGGACGCGAATTCGAGAATTCCTGCCTTTCGTAGCAAATAGAGTTGGATTCATTCAAAGTCAAACCAATCCGGAGCAATGGCAATACATTGGGACAAAGGACAATCCTGCTGATATGTGTTCTCGTGGAAGCAAAGCAGCTCAGCTGATTGACAGTGAGTTATGGTGGCGAGATTCTCAATTTCTGCAAAAGACGGAGTCGGAGTGGCAACTGAAGAAGATCGTTAACGAAGGAGGCATTGGTCGCAAGATGGAGTCTTTGCAAAGCCTATTTTTGAATATTGAAATACCATAATTTTATACGTAAAGAAACGTATTAGGACTTATTCAAAGTTCAACCTTTTTAATAATTAACATGTATTGTCTTGTATTTTAATTACTGCTATTAAAGTCCATTCAAAGCGATTTCAGTTCACTTTTAAACCATCTGGTACAGTTTAATTAAAACAATATAAATTTTTCCAGAAGTGCGTTCAATGTATGATTGCACCCACGGGAACGCATCAGCAACCAGAATTTATGATATGATTTTTACATATTTACTTAATTAACAATATGAATACAGTGAAGTATATATAAACAAACGCAAAACTAATGAATTTGAATGATTTGACCACGACCAACATCTGTTTTAGTAAGTCACGGTAACAGTACGTACCGAATGTCTGCACAAAAGCTCAAAGAAATACGGGGGGGGGGGAATAAGTACTGCTCCCAATAAAAAATGACATAATCGTAATTTTTGAGATATTGACTAATGTTAAATGATTGTTGTTTGTATAAAACTTGCATAGTCATGTGGATTTGTAAATCCAATGAATCCAATGATAAATTGAATCAAGGAAGGTTTTATATGGAATTGAAGATGTTCTTTTTTGACAAGAAATGCACCAATTATTTTATAATTTGCAAAGCAGATGTTATAATCTGCATAATTTTACGAAGAATAAGCTGTAAAATCATTTTAAAAGTTTAATGAAACCCGTGCATTGCTTAAAATAGCAGTTTGGCCTCACAAATCCACATATTAAATGTACACGTGTATATAAAAACATAACAATTTATTAGCAACATCTTTCAAAATAACGACTACATCATAATGGAGGACCATTTATTTTTGACCACCCCCTTTACATTTAAAGAAGCTTCGAGAGAAATGCCTATTTTAACCACTGTACAGGTAAATTCTCTGATAATATTTTATCGTAGTTTTATTTTACACGCAGGCGTTCGACCTCTTGAAACCACTCGAGAAATACACCATTGCTGTTTTGTTAAATCTGGGTTCCTGAAATCTTTCGCAGCCATTGTTGTAGTAGGTGTATTTGCTGCGGTTGCGGTAGCAGTATTGATCGTTGTTGCTGACAGGGTTTTTGAAGTTGGTGCCTTCCCATCACGTCCTTCGGTGATGCTTTCGAGCTCAGAATTTAGAAAAGAACGCTGGTGAAGAAGGTCTTCTCCCTTCTCAACGTAGTCATCAAGTTCCTTGCAGAATGCTTCGGCTTGCTTCTTCTGGTCTACGTGTCTTCGTCTTTGGAGGTCCGCGACGGATGGGCCACGGCCTCCTTTGTATGCACCAACTTCATAACCTTCTACTCGCCTCTTGAGCTTGACACTTTCAGCTACATCTTCACGACAAGCTTGAATCAAAGTGAGGTTCTCTGCACCAATATGATGCCATCTTGAGTGGTGGACCTCTTTGCCACATTGAAACCAGGCTTAAAGGCGCAAAAAACATGGGATCGACGAGCTTCCCACCATTTCCACCAGTTGTTCAAAAATGGGTTGTTGTCTATAAACTTCTCCAACGCAGCCTTTGCCTTGTCATACATGTTCTTAGTGGATGCTTTCAATACTGAATCAGAAAGAAAACGATATTCCTTTCTTAGGTCTTCTCCAATCAGTTTCTTTGCATTTCTGTCAACAGAGAATCCCCAGTGGCGATCACAGCTAACGGCCCGGTTAATTTCTTCTGTACCCAATTGTTCTTGCAGTGAAGCCCAAAACCCCCCACCCTCATCAAAAACGTACAGATGAGGCTTAAAAACGTATTTGTTGTCACCAGTGAATTGCTGTAACGCTGTATTCAGGCAATCCCAAAATATTCCGATATTCTCCTTGCTTTCTGTTGGACATTCCATTGTTGCAATTTTCGTCATTTCCCTTAAATTTGGGTTATACACAACTAAAGAGATGGTTATGTATCCTGTGACACGATTGTGTTTGCCGTCCACATGGCACGGTTCAACATTCAGATGTCCTTGGCCGTCACGGTCCATCTCCATAGCAAGTTGTAACTGTTCCCGGCTGGTCTTAAACACAATTTGTTTTTCACAGTCCACTTTGTAAATTAGGAATGGATCTTTCAGTACATCCTGTACTTTTGTCTTGTACTTCATCACTGCATCATAACTGTGACCCACTGGGTCGAGTTTCTCTTTAGCTGACTGCTTCATCTTTTTCAGCGTCTGTCGGTCGACCAAACTATCTGCCAAATCATTAATTGCTTTGAGGGATTCTTCGTTCTCGATGGCTTCAATCAACTTGTCATTAACTAGCCTGCGAACAGGCTCTCTTTGAACTCTCTTTGAAATTTGAGAGAGAGCCTGCAGGCCTAGCTAATAAAAACGCGTCTGTGCGTTGCTTAAAACGACGCAGGGTTCCCATTGGTTGAAATTGAATTAACTACATTATACTGCCATAAAAGGTAATTAAATTTACACAACAAAAGATTCAAATAAAAAATATCGTTCTATAGCGACGAGTTGTATAGAAAACTAAATCTTTGTTTAAAGTTACAGTAAAGGATGGGCAATCAAAAGCTCTTAACAATATTCTAGACGGAAACGATGTTTTTGCTGTATAAGAGAGTTTGGCAAATACAACGGCAACTGCTTATATCAACAATATAGCATCTTTACTCTGAGACAAATGCGACTACTATAATTTGCATTCTTGAGCATTGTAGTACGCCGTAGTTGGTATGACCCTTTGCATGATTTCAAATATCTCTTTCCAACGAAGCCTGCACGTCTTGACGTAGTATAATTACCCCACTGTCTCCCATCCTCGGTAACTGCCGTTTTGTTACCACTGTCATATTCTAGGCTGTAGACCTTAAGTCCGTCTATGTCATATGGGAGATTCTCAACTCGCTGGATTGGGACATCTGCCCAAATGTCGGGAGTTAACCTTGTCTGGCTGACTCTCCTAATAATATTAAAGAAACATGCTATAAGTTAAAACTCTAAAAAGGCACGCAATCATTCAATTAAACAAGAACTGAAATGCTGCCTTGATAAATAACGTCCTGTGATTGGTTGAAGCAAAATCTCGAAGCAGGCTAGCTCGTATCTAGCAATTTGCCTGTTGATATAACATGTATTTTCTTGCTCATTTTCGGACGAATTTCGGACTACAGTCCCCAATAAATCGGAGATTCGGAGGGCAGGTTTGCCGTTCGAACATTGACTTAAACATTCCAGTTCCTCTTTGTATATCTGTGGCAAACAGAGGTTAACATAAATTAAAATTTTCTTAACATTTTACAATGTAGAAACACCTTTTTGGTAAGTTTTCCATCTCATCTGGTGAGCTCTTTGCCTCGTCTGGTGAGCTCTCTGCCTCATCTGGTGAGCTCTCTGCCTCATCTGGTAAGCTCTCCATCTCATCTGGTAAGCTGTCCGCCTCATCTGGTAAGTTCTCCATCTCATCTGGTGATGTCTCCGCCTCTTCTGGTAAGCTTCCCACCTCAAATAGCTTTCTTGATAATGATGATGAAGTCTTTTTTTTCTTTTATTATAATCTTCTTTCGCTGGTGAGCTTTCAGCACTGGTCACCACCTTATTTAAACAAAATAAATAATAACTACTTACTTTAAAGTACAGTACATTGTGCTAAGTTTACTAACTTCCTGCTATGCTCCATGATGGCTTAAACAAGTTAAACTCTACATGCAAATAAACTGCAAATTAACTAAAATACATGCTGACAACACACCAACTCAGATCAACGAAGCAGGGTCTTCACAGAAAATTGCCTTTCCTGCACTTCAAGGGCGTCATTACGTTTTGAAATACATGTTCCAACACTTTCGGTCAACGGCCCGAAACCACTGGCACTGATTAACGAAGTCACAAAGAACTACAGTATGTTAAGTTAATCCAAAATGCGTTTTTAATCTGATCTTTTCTGGAACAACCAATTGACAAAGAAAAGTTAAATTTTATTCATTGTTGTGGTAGTTTCTGCATACTAGATATCCCGCTAAATCATTGATACTGTATTTTACCTAACCTTAGAATCAAATGGCACATATAGCTTAATTATATTACTATAACTGGAATCTTGGATTTCAAACCACAAGTAAAATATGGTTTTCTTCTAAATATCATGCTAACGAAGTACTCACTAGTTCTTCAACAAGTTCATATTTGCTGAAATAAAATTGAAAATAAAAGTCAGCATCTACCAGAAATAAAAACCCCTGAGAACTTCTAATATAATATTGTAACTCCAAATAGGCAACAGACTTTGTATATGATCCAAATGGCAAAAATAGTACCTCAGTTTAACCAAAACCAAAAAGACCAATATTTAACCTAATTTTTACATCAGAACTTGTTAAAAACAACCTATGTGTTATGTGAATAAGAGTACATTGTGAGCTACAACCCTTTTTCAACAGAGGCATGGCCCCCAGGACAACGTGAGGTATCTTGGGGGGCTCCCAGTATTTTCTGTGGCGCTGCTGTTGGGTCTATAAAATATACTTCCATAGTGTGGTAATAACTGTGAAATCTATTTGATTTTCTCTTTTGAAATTAACTGATGTAGCGAGAAACTAATTTATATTCATTTCCCTCTTAATCTTTTTTCTCACATCATCACTTACCACTCAAACAATTTGTCAAATGACTCTTCTTCGCTGAAAGATGAAACAATATATAGTGTAAAAACAATAGTATATATTAGTAGTATAAATTCATGCACTTTTTATTAACGACTCATCCACGATCGAGATTCGGGCATTGAACATAAAAATGAACACAAAATAGAACCAAACGGATGTCGCTCATCTGCACGATTTTCTGGGACTCGTGTTTGATTTTGTATGCGTGTTTCTTGATGAATTCGTTTTCATATGCATACAGTGGCGTGCTGGACACTGTATAGCAGGCGGGGCCATTAATCACTACTGCGCCCCCATGCATACCCTAACGACTGACTGCGTGAGTCACGCTAGGGGGTTCCTGGAGCATGCTCTTCCGGGAAAATTTTGAAATCTAGGGTCCCTCTAATGCGATTTCCTGCATTTGCGCCACCCCTTGCGAGCACGCCACTGTGCGCATGTGGTGGTTCTATTTGTGTCCGGAATTTTCGATCGTCCCTGTGGGTTGGGAGGTAGCCTGCGAGGCAGGCTCTTCTTTGGTTATGTGGGAGAAAGAGCCTGCAATCGCTTCTAATAATTTTCGTACCTCCCCTAGTGACACTGAAATTATAAAAATAAAAATCATTGTCGTAGCCAATAAAGTGGTGGCTTGTTACCAGATTTTTCGACTTGAACTCATGCATGCGCAAAAACCTACAAAACCCAAGTCCATGACATAGAAATTGGCGGAATGGACAACTTTGGATTTGCCTTGGATTTCGATCACCCAGGTGTAAATATCCGAGCGGAATTAGCATTAACTTATCTAGGTTATACTCAGCTCACAACAATAGTAATAGAAATTCCATATTCACTGATCACAATCTCAGATCTGGAAAAGCCGAGAACCCCAAAAATGGCGGCGTGAGAAAGGCTAATACGGGATAGCGACTTTCATTTTGATTGGGGAATATATTTACGAATAATTCAAATCAATGTTGGGCATATCGTCGCGGAGAATCGCAAATATTTCTTCATATTCTCTTCTTTTTACATTTCTATCTTTGTATAATGTGTAGTTCCAGAAAATATCCAGACCCCCCTCCATCCCCCTGGATTTTTCAAAACTGTCCTAAGCTGAAGTTTGCCCCCCCCCCAACCCTCTGGAAATTCCGGTATTTTACTATTATTTATATTCAGCAACAGGTGGGAAAGTTGTCGTCACTGGCAAAAAAATCGCTGGCAGAAACAAAGTTCCATTGGATTGCATTTACATTCAAATCAAAGCAGACTGAGTTAGCAAGAAGCTGTTTAGCGGACGATTTCTTGCTTTCCGTTCAAACGATTCACAAATTAACGGTTATTCTTTCAAAAATCGGTCATGAATTCCTTGTTTTGGGATGATTTTTTTGTAATCGAGTGATTGGAAGAAGTGAATATGACGACGTGAACATGGGAAAAAATACCCGTATACATCGAGCTATGGCTTGTTTAAAACCGCAATAAACGAAGAAAAACCTGATATGAGAATAAAATGGAAGTTGAAATTAATTTTATATGCCTCAAATTTTCCACCCTATGTTTTTTGATGTAGCTTCAGCGGTCTAAGTTCAAAATACAAGCTCGCGAATTTGACAAATTTTGAAAATATGTAAAAATAGCTTGACTTTGAAACTATATTTTTTTTAATAGCCGGTGTCCTCAATTTCAAATATAGCTAAATGAAAAGAAAAAACTTTTCGGCGTTTGTAAGTATCAAACATATCATCAGGAAAATAGGGGCTCACAATGTTTTAACTAAGCACAACTTTTGCCAAGAATCAAAGGCCAAAATGTGAACTTCCTTCATGAAGACTGCTTCGAGAAGGGTTTAGTTTAAAAATTTAGCTATTAATTTCGATTTCATGAGCATATTTTGGTTACACGTTAAATATTTTTTTACTTGATAAGATTCAAAATTTGTTGTATATTCAAGCCCGATTTCAGTGTAATTTTGGTGATGACAGGAACAGAAATAAAGACATTTTAAAAACTGGCCGTGGCCTAGGCTCGGTCCCAGCCGTTCCCTCTTGGGGCTCTCTTGGAGGGAACGGCTGGGCGCATGCAGTGCGTATTTGTTCCGTTCAGCCAATCAAAATACTAGCACCGCAAATCGCGGTGCTAAATAATTATCATAATTATGTCTCGTATTATATTATGTCTCGTATTATAGATTTGGAATACCAGACAGATCCTTAATAGCGTTTGTAGCAATTTTACATTGGACTTCTCGATGCAGAGTTTGCTCATTTGGAAGTTCGTTCCTTTTAAAAATACGTTTTTGGGGTTTAACGTTGCCGATAGTTGAAGGCCTAACCGATTTCCGTGAGGGCGCTGTATGCATGTGGAGATGTTTCTACGTCGGTGGGTAAACACCGTTTAAATATTTCGTTCTCACTTAACTAAGAGTTAAGTAAACTTTCTTGAGATGATTTTTACAATCCTCAATTTCTTGTTGTAGTTTGGTGCACTTGTTAACTTGTCTCAGGCATGAACAGCACAAATATTTATCGCATGGCACTTCTTTAGAAATGCACAAAATATCACAAAAATTTTCCAGCAATTGCCGCGTTCTGCCTACGATTTTCGTGCGATATTGTACATTTTCAACTTCAGTAAAACAAACAAAACATCCACAAACAGATGCTAATAATACAATAATTCAATCAATTCATCGTGTTCTTTTTCCTACCTACCAAGCATTTCTGGCTATTTTAATAATGACTTGTTTTATTACACTCACCCATATAAATATTCTATAATTTATGCGGAAATATCGCATATTGGAATTATTAATAACACGTGATCAGACACGGAACGCACTGCATGCGCCCAGCAGTTCCCTCCAAGAGAGCCCCAAGAGGGAACGGCTGGGACCGAGCCTATCCGTGGCCTCACGATAAAACATTCTAAAAATGTACCCTTCGTTTCATGTATATTTATTTGATATCTTAGGAAAAGCCTAAAAATAGAGACTCATACAGTTTACTAGGTTGTAAAATTCATGACTTGTATTTTCATGTGAACATTCGAAATTTTTCAACAGCAAAGTAGGAACTTTTTCAGATCGAATGCACACGGACAGCACTCCAGGGACAATGGCAGGTTACTGAAATAGATCATGTCCATTTTCAACATAAAACAGTCATTTATTTTGTACCAAACATTTGGCAATACTTACACAATTGCGCCTTTTCCTAAACAATCGTTGCGTGTATTCCACGCTCGTATTCCACGTGTATTCCATGCTCGCGCATGCTCACACAAATTTCCCACCTGTTATATCCACCCCTCTGGAAATCTATATATTTAAAACTACTACATGGCCGCTTTTACAGCCCGCATACATAATATGTACTTTGTACAGCTACAGAAGTAACAGAACATGCTAAAAGTTTTATTTGCCTGCTCGCGTTGATTTGAAGGGAAAACCATTCAACTAGTAATGGCTGATTTACACAGTCGCATTTTTGATAGGACGTACATACAACGCGCGGAAATGTTTAAATCCTTCTTAAATCTTATATGATTAATCAATACCCTAACAAAAACACACTAAATCATACACAAAACCAAATACTATATATCTATTTATTCGATTATTTCAGCAACCTCGTTCCCAGGGTATTTGCTCTTGGGAAGCAAAGACCCTGGTGGACGCTGGTCACGTGATCTGCTAAAATCTAGCAGGTTTTTAATTAGCGTTGTTTTGTCAATCTGGGAGGGGTGGGAATGTAGTAGTTGACATTCCCCAGATGCATTGCTTCTATACTTCACTTTACATGTATTAATAAACATGATTTATACTGTTCTAAATTCGTCCTCATCATGACAAGTTTCCTGCTATATTGAATGTCATCAATAATAAGTGCTGCGGTACATTTCAAGCGAGAAGCTGGATCATATTTCACTTGCAAGGAAAAATATACTCCACACGCGCCTGGCTAGTGAGCACGCATCAGATCGCCGTATAAACATACATATCTGAAATCTTCTACACCGACTGATCGATCAAACGGTATTTATATAAAACGAACGATATGATATGGTTGTTTATAGTTGAAATGTATCCTGTCCGATATTCAAAACAAAGGATTTATTTTATAACGGGATCCTTTGATTTCTCAACTGAAGTACTGAACATCGCCAACTGTGTATATAAAAACAATAGTGCTGTTTTGACTGTGGATTACAGTAAGCACAGGATTAAAACCCGTTATTCCTTTTATTTACATTGCTGAAACAGCTCAACGATCAAGAATGATATATGTCGAAGTACAGCTATACAGTATACTGTTATCACACGCCAAGACTCCTCGGTGCGTGCGGTACAACTTGAATACGATATATGCACTAGACTAAATTATATCATATATTGCAGTAAACATTATGAATCTTATAAAGACCTTTCATTGGCATTGGTATTAATGCCCAGGCATTATTTGAAGAATAATCCAACTTAAAATCCAGCTTCTTTCGACTTGTATAATGCCGCTGTGAGTCATCAATATTTAAATCAACTTTAAGTCTTTAATCTTTATCGTATATACCCATATACTGTGTCGTAACTGTAATTGAAATTTTAGAAGTTTCACCAAACGGTACTTCGTAACTGTAAGCAAACAACCTATCTATCAGTATCAGTATCAATAGAAACTTTAAAAGGCTTAACAAAACTCATTAAGTAATTCTATGAGCGAGACTTGGTGCGCATATACAGTTTATGAATTATGTATATATAAATATATATCCCTGATAAAACGTATAGGGACACTTCGTACCAGATATAATAACAAATACTTTGCTAAATCTTTTCGGATATCATTCCTTTGCATTTAGGGTGGGAGGGTGAATGGCGATAGCTATAATTTATTATAGGAGATTCTGTGCAATATTTTGGCTCAACAAACAGGTAGTCGTGAAAACAAAAAAGTGCACTGTCGAGTGTCGATTCCAAACAATTTTGTCAGTCGCTTTTGATACCTCTATTTTACAAAATTTATACCGTTTCCTTTCTGTATGAAAACAATTCAATGGCATATTATAAGAATATTGTAAATATCTGAACCAGAGGCAGAGCCAGGACAGAAACGTACGTATGAAATGAAAATATTGCGCCCGAACCCCGAGAGAATATTAAAAACGCAAATATTTCAAACCATACGGTCATTCGTTTTCGTTGCTTGATTTGCTGACTTGTCTGTTAGTACAAGAATCTGCATTTTACCATGTTTGTATAATTTAAAACGGCAAACAGAAACCAATTTAGCAAGAATTTTGAAGAATATATGATTCTCAAAGATTATTGTACAGCACGGCCACTCCTTGCAATCGAAGTGTGAAGTGCGGAAGTGGAAACATGTAATATGAGACCTTTCCATCCCCCTCTGAGGCTATCAATTTTCTATGGGTCACGTGACCAGCGTCCACCAGGGTCTTTGCTTCCCAAGAGCAAATACCCTGGGAACGAGGTTGAACTCAATCTATTATTTTAATGAGTATAAACAATATAGGAACAATTTGAATAAAACAATCAAGGAAACCAAAAGCAATTATTATAAAAGTAAACTAAATGCATGCAAGGACAACAAAGAGAATTGGAAATTGATAAACGAATTGCTAAACAATGCATCAAAAACTATTATAATAATGAATTGGTAGTTGACGAAGGAAAAATAGTAGGAGATGAGAATATTGCAGAAGAATTTAACAGCTTCTTCTCGCGCATAGGTACACGTTTAGCTAAAAATATAGACGCATGCAAGTTATGTCGATCCACTGTCTTTCGTAACATCTACACCACACAACTTCGATTTTCAAACTATATCCCATGATAAAGTTAGAGAGGAAATTAAGCAAATGAAAACTGCTAAATCATCGGGCTATGACAAAATCTCTGTGAAAATATTGCAGGCCGCTGGGAGTGCAATTGTTGTGCCACTAACGTATATATTTAACCAATCTCTTACGACTGGAATTTTTCCAGATGACTGGAAAATTGCTAAAGTAACACCTATCCACAAATCAGAAGAAAAAACGCTATACGGTAATTATAGGCCGATTTCTATAATTTCTCTAGTTCCCAAAGTATTTGAGAAAGTTGTACATGAACAATTAATGAAATATTTGGAACACCACCAAATAATTTCCAAATTTCAGTCTGGATTTCGTGTAAATCATTCAACTGAAACATCATTACTACATGTAACTAATAGCTGGTTAGCAAACATGGACGCTGGTTTGATTAATGGTGTCCTATTTCTGGACCTTAAAAAGGCTTTTGACACGGTAAACCATAAAATTCTATTATCCAAATTGGGATGTTATGGGATTCGTGGATAAGCACTGTCATGGTTTCAATCATATCTTAGTAATAAGAAACAAATTTGCAAAGTAAATAACTCGCTATCAACCTTCCAAAATATTACATGCAGCGTTCCACAAGGATCTAACCTTGGGCCACTCCTGTTTACAATTTATATAAATGATCTGCCAAATAGTTTAGAAATAACTGAACCCGCCATGTTTGCTGATGATACAAGCTTAACTGCAACTGGAGAGTCTTCTTTTGAAATTGAATACAAATTGGGGATGGAAATCCAAAACGTTAAGACTTGATTAGATGCAAACAAATTAACATTAAATGAAGAAAAAACCGAGTATATGCTAATCGGCTCAGGAAAGCGCTTAAAACAGATCAGAAATGACCCTATTATTAAAATTAGAGATCATATAACCAAACGGGTTTACAAGAAAAAGGTCTTAGGCTTAGAAATAGACGATAAATTACAATGGACAAAACATGTTGAAAAACAAACTAAAAAGATTTCTTGTTCTATAGCTATGTTACGAAAAGTGAAACCTTACGTACCTCAACCAACACTACAGATGATGTATAAGTCATTTGTACTCCCCTATTTCAACTATTGTTCAACTATATGGTATGATGGTAATAAAATGCACGCCGAAAAAATGCTCAAATTGCAAAAGCGTGCAGCACGGGTCATTACCAGTTCGGGCTTAGAAGAACGATCTTCTGAAATTTTTCAAATGCTCAAATGGACAAAAATACAATCAATACTAAAAAAGCGAGAATAAGTGATGACATTTAAAGCACTTAGGGGTATGGCTCCAGAATACTTAACACAGATGCTTCATGTCTCCGTTAACCAAACCTACCAACTACGAAATAATCATCAAAAGTTTTACCTACGACCAAAACCTAAGACGAATTTTTTGAAACGAAGCTTCTCCTATAGAGGAGCAGTTTCATGGAACCAAATTTTAATGGAAAAACTTCCAATTACAGAAATACCTGAAACTTTCATCAGTTCTTTTAAAAGGCTAATAGATGGCTTGTGTTTTTGAATTGGGAGGTCATCCTGCCAAACCATATTAAAGCATTATGTAAATAGAGTATATTATGCATGATTGTTTTTTTAGTTAATAATTTTAATATTCTTATAATAATTTATAGTAAGTGTGCACGGCCCTTTGAAAAACAGACTTCTGAAAGGCTACCGTGAATAAATAAGCTTAAATAATAATAATAATATTTTGTTTAGCTTCAATTATAGCGGAGTTGAGACGTCAGAGCTTCCAGTCACTTGTAAAATGCGCTGTTGTTCCGTTTTTTTTACACAAGCCGTTAATATCAGCGTAGTTAAGCCATTTTTCTGTGTTTATGAACATCACAAGTGGATTGAATTAAAAAAGATTTCGATCAATGCAGCGAGGTAAACGAAACGTGGTACGCTTTCGTATTAAAATTAGCTAGTCGGTTATTAATCTAAACTGTGTATGTCTATTCTGCACGATTGGAAATGAATTTAAGAGGCTCTCTCTAAGAACCGACCAATGGCTCTAGGCTCAAAAAATGAAATTCTTCGTTACTTTCACAATGAAATCTATTTATCCCAAGAATAAACAAACACTGTTTGGAATTTTGAAATTTTATTTATTTTTAAAATTTCAGCCATTTTTGGTCCCGCGCCGTCGCGCAGAAAATCCTCTGTCTAAGAAGGCATAAAATTTAGCCGAATGCAAATACAAATAATTTTAAAAGTGTTCATCCAAATTTTAAGATTTTTTCGCCCACGAACATGAAAGTTATTCTACTTTGAAACTTACCTGGTTTTGTGATGCTTTTATTACAAAACTATTATGACAAACTTTAGCGACAACAAGCACCAAGTCCAAATACGGCTTTGCACACATATCAAATTCGACTTTAAATTCCTCAAAAGCGGATCTTAACTGGATTGAGTGACTAATATGGTGGAAAAAAGACAAGTTTGGTGTACCAATATCCACAATAAAACTTGTTACCAACCGCAATTTGAAGACTCAAGATCCTCTGCCGGAAATTTGTTACCTTCAATTATCGTGGAGTTGAGACGTCAGAGCTTCCAGTCATTTGTAAAATGCTCTGTCGTTCCGGTGTTTTTTTAACACAAGCCGTTAAGAACATCACAAGTTGTTTTAATTCGAAAAGATTTTGCTCGAAGCAGCGAGGTAAACGTTACAGCGAGGTAAGCGAGGTAAAATAGAGTCATTGCTAATTTTGGCACATTCCGTCATAAATAGTTTAATCGTGCAACAATTACTGCCATTATATTAGCAGAAAACCACAAACATGACAGATCGTCTTGTTTGTATAGCTTCTCTTCCGTGTAATGCACAGCAATTCCATTAGTATGTATTTGACAAATTTCGATTCCCAACTATATCTTCACATGCATGATACTATATCTTATAGGGGTAATTTACACATTAATTAACATTCCCCATTTTAAATCGTGAACAGTTTCTACCATTATTCTGGCCGACGTTTCGTATAAGAGTCCCCACATGACTTGGCCTACCCACACTCCCAGTACGGCTCTGCCCAAACCCAACCTTACCCCAACCTCGCGTTTTTGTGACGTCATTTAAAAACTCTTGTATGAAAATAAACTTCACCCGTTATTAGCTCTCCTTAAACAATTCCAGGTGAAGTTGATACAAAGGTCCTCAAATGACATCACAATAGTCGAGGTGGGGTGGGTGTAGAGTTGGGGTCAGGATAGAGTTGGTGTGGGGGTCATTTGGAGACTATTTCATATATGACTCTTCTAATAAATTTCAGCCAAGCCCTGGTTGAAACACTAATCTTTAAAACCTTTATTCAAACTATAATCCAAATCCAATTCAATTGGCATGCACGATTGCAACTGGATCTTTTGATAATAATCATTGTATATAGTAATCTTCTAGATCAAGTCTTTTTTCCAGTTTAAATTCATTTCCAATCGTGCAGAATAGACATACAGAGTTTAGATTAATAAATATCAGCATGGACAATAATTTCCGGGTTTTCCCCGAGTAGCTAATTTTAATACGAAAGCGTACCACGTTTACCTCGCTGCATCGATCGAAATCTTTTCGAATTAAATCCACTTGGGATGTTCATGAACACAAAAAAATCGCTTAACTACGATGATATTAACGGCTTGTGTAAAAAAACCGGAAAACCGCCCATTTTACAGGTGACTGGGAAGCTCTGACGTCTCGACTCCGCTATAATTGAAGCTAAACAAAATAGCCAAATTGTATCAAATTTCAGAGGCTGTCGAGCACTGAGCTATACTTATATATCTGGAGATCGTGCTCTCGACGAAAGTGTGTGACCAAAAACATGGCGGATTTTACGTCACAATCGACCTATTTTCATGGGGGTTTCCACTGACCCGTGGCTCGAATGTCCGTGGGCGACAATGTTCAACCCCCCCCCCCTGGATTTTACAGTGATTTATGTACTGACTGTTTATATTAGTTGATCGACAGAGAGTATATTTTTGATTTTCGCCCTTCTGAAAATAATATTATTCTAACTGCGCGTTTAAATCAATAAAGACCGAACGCCATTAATAAAAAAAGACATGAATGGAGCTTGACGGCCACAAGGACAAAGCATGTAAGTCATTGAAACGATTTATCAATTCTTGTTGTATTGTGAATTTGTGTTGCAACTATCAAGATTCTTTAAAACTGAAGTATTATAATAATCTCCAGTAAGTAAACTTAAACAAATATAGCTTGTTGAAAATCGTATTGCTATAAATGTCCCGGAGTGACAAAGGTTTTTTTAGAGATTTACCAGTTTATTCGATTAGTAAATTGTGGGGAAGTAACTCTTTGGAATAAGCACTTATATCACCATTAATTCATTAAAGTTTTTTATACCTGTATGTATTCCGCTTTCAGGTATATTCTATCAAGAAAATATGGTATATCTGTACTAAGTACAGGGTGATAATGAAGAAAGTCAAGACATTGTATTTCTTTTGTCGTGAATTAAGCAGTCCAGTTAATGTAAATAGTCCAGTTGACATTACGTAATCAGACATGTAGATTACATCAGTTACGAACACGATCAGATATTGAGATGTCTAACACGTACATATTTAGATAGTACGTCGAACACATGTAGTTTTCCTCAACCTTTTTAGCTTTAAATATATAACCATAAAACGAAGACAGTTTCTCTTACTTACTCGATCGAACCTTGCTATCCTCTACATCTTTATAATGGTCTTCCTTGTAAAAGGTGATGGCACTATGTCATTGAACATTCAAGGAACAATTGCCTTTTAGAACAAATATGCACATTTTTATACTAGAGTTACAATGTTTGATATCTGGTGCCGGTTGTTCAAAGCTGGGTTAGCTAAACCCTAGGTTCACCTAAA